AGACCACTGCATTCGAGATTGTCAGCTGTTTAAGCTTAGCGTTAAAAAGCTGCATTTTGAGATGAAGCAGTTTTGCTAAATATTATTTAATAATAATTTTAAACTGTTTAGAAATGCAGTCTCTCCCTGCCTTTACAACAACTGGGCCACTGTCACAGAAACACGCCTCAGGCCCGGCTCGCCTCCAAGCAGAGTTTATTGAAAGGAAATAAACCCGTTGCATTTTCCTTTCAGCAGGCCAGATGTTTAAGGAGCAATATTTCATATTTTTCCATTTGGAGTGAACATACGTGCATCGCCTTGCTGTAACTGCTAACCACTCACTGTGATTGTTCTCTGTGCCGAGCGACAGAGTGACTCTGCCAGGATTTATTTCTGAATAAATTCTAGCGGCGAAACCATCTCATGAATAATTAACCTCTAAGACCAGAGGAGGTTTAAAGGGAAGGACTATAAACCCAAACGAAAGCATTACTATAAATCCCTGAAAGAATCAATGCACTCCAGCAAAGCCTATAAGTCATAACAATCAGTGATAATGACGATAGCTTTAGGACGGAAATAAAAAGTCATTGGAATGAATTCCAATGGGTCTGTCCAAGTGCTCCACAGTACATCCACATTACATTCATGCTTTGTGAGTAGAGGTCGCCACTGACAGCTTTATACTGCAAGTGGATAGCATAAAATAAGAAAGTCTGGCATCGATTATAATCATTGCTGCCAACAAATTGAAATCCAGAATAAAAGGAAAGGGAGTAAAAAAAAAAAACTCACCTAAAGACAACCATTGCTGTTTTACATGGTGGGCAGGCCAGCAGGAAGATCTGTTGAAGAAACCACAAAGTGAGACGACGATCATACAATGCATTCAACTCAGAGGGTCAATAGGAACATGAATGTGTTAAGAGCTCTATGCTCTTAATGCTGCGAGTAAAAAGGGTTTGCACTAAAGTAGCCGGAGCCAAGACCTTGAAGAGATCATTCCTCAGGGATCGGCGTGAAATCGATAAAAAACGCATGAAGGAGTCTGGAGGAGCCCCGGACAAACAATGACGACTCAGACTGAGTGTAAAACCTTACAGAGGTTGTTAGAGAAAGTCTTTATCTAAAAAGCTAAAGTAGATCAGCTTTCTCTGGTTTCACTTTCTACAATTACCTAGAATCCATTTAACACAATCCTGACAATGTTTCCTCTAAAGCCTAAAAGCATTTTCTTATAATATCCAGATTGTTTATATTGTGTAACGAAAAGCCTCCAAATAGGAGAGGAATTAAGTTTAATTTATGAACATCCACAACAAGATTAGACCCTTGTTTAGTTTTAAACCCCTTCCTTAAAGCGTTTAACTCTGGCAGCCATCGCTTGGATATCCACAGGAGTCCTAGTTGAACGCCTCTGAAGGGTAGCCTGGTTTGTGACAATATTTGCAGTCTAAAAGCAGAGTACTTTTGTTTGTTTGCTGGGTCGATTAAAACAAGCTTGCAGTTACTGCCTTATGGATCCCAGCCTCAGCTTTGCCAATATGTTTACCACTGCTATGTTTACACCTTCCAGATCTGGTACAACTACCTTTCAATGACATCGGCAATAAATGCTGTCATCTAAAAGGACAGGGCGAAACTGGCGTCGGGTGCAAGAGTTTGCCCTTTGAGCGGTTTGAGCCCCAGCTCTGGCTTTCAGTGTCATTGTGTCCTTGGGCAAGACACTTCACCTGCATTGCCTAATGATGGTGGTCAGAGGGCCCGTTGACACCAGTGTACGGCAGCCTTGCTTTTGTCAGTGAGGGGAGCTACACTGTAGCCCAGGGCAGCTGTAGCTACAGTTCAGTTAGCCAACATCAGTGTGTGAGTAAATGGGTGAATGACTGAATGTTGTGTAGAGAGCTTTGGTCAAGTCTCCTGAATTGAAAAAGTGCTCTATAAGTACAGGTCATTTACCATTTAAAATCCAAAGAAGCATCAGAAATCTGTAATCATAATTCAACAAACTTTTGTGGGAGATTAATTAAAATGACATATGTGGATGTAACAATGATGATGTGACTGTGATGTGATGACCTATGCTGAGGTCAGATGCATTAGGTTTGTACGGTTGTAGCAGCCGCAAAGGGTCAAAGTCCATTATTCCTATTTTTAATTTATACCCCTTTTGGAAATGTTATATTACAACATTATAGAACCAAACTAACCTCTTTAATAATTATCTTTTGAAAATGAGAGATATACATTTGCTTTTACTCCCACTGGAAACCAAGAATGAGAAGACTAATGACAAATATTAAAAATTTTTGCTTGTAAAATCAAGTATAAAAACCTCCCCTATGTGGATACAAATAAATTAATACTTAGTATAGAATGCACCTTTCATAGAGGAATGATGTGTGCAGAAATGCAGTAGCATTGAGTTTCGTTTCTATGATGAATGGGGAAAGTGGGAAGTGACGTATTGCCTTAAAGTGGTCTGCACATTTGTGGTCGTTTTGTACGGCACATTTTCTGCTACTCCCCTCAAAGTTGCTTGGGGTGGGTGAATACGGCGATACAGGCCCCCTCAGGCCATAGCAGAGGTGTCATTATCCATATATAATCTTAAAAGTTATGAAAATATTTTTATGAAGGTTAGTGTTGGTTTAAGATTATGCACTCTAAATAGTCCTGCTTCAGTATAAAGTGGAGATTCTGAGGTTTCCCCACAATTGCAGCAGTTTACTATGTATGAACCGGGTCTGGATGAGACGAAGGCTGCGTGCATATTCTGATCTTAGCATCAAAGGGAATATAAAAGTGACACAGCCAGGTTGTAATGTTGCTTGGAGAAGATGTAAACTCAGTTTTCCATGACAACTGTATGAATCCAAAGGTGTTTTTTTGGAGATAGAAACACATCTGAAAACATGAGTAGGACTAAAAAGATAAAATCAAAGGAGGAAATGTAAGGCTTGCATCTACTCTATGCTTTTTTTAAAAGCAGCATCTAATTAGTTTGGACAGTCAGTTAGATAAACCGGTTTAATTTGGTTTGAGCCACAAAGTTTTCCAGTCTTACAAAAGAAGGAAGTTGATGAATTGTGTAAGATCTCATCATCAGAGAAAACTATAATCAGTTTTCTGTAATATATTGCATATGTGCAATCATTGTGACAAAGTCTCCTCTGTCCTTGCATGCAGGGAGAGGTGGAAACAGAAAGTCAGTTAATTACAGAGTAAATGGCACGTATCAAACAACACTAAATTATTACATCACTGGCTTGCTTCCACCTTTAATTCAAATGTAGATGCAGAAAAGCAACAAGTTGGAGAATAATTTGAAAGAGATCAGGTCAGAGGTTTACATCTAAAAGGGAGGTTAAAAAAAGCACCTAATGTGAATTTAGTAAACTAAAAACAGAAAAAGAAATATCTAAAACATCCAACAATATCCAAAATATTGTCTGATGAACAAAACAGGGTGATTTTCAGACTTTTTATCACTGGTGGCTAATGGAAAAAACCCAATCTTTTAAGTGACCCATGAATGCAGCATAGCTAATGCAATGGGAAATTGTGACCACACTCTCACCAAAGAACACTCAAAGTTTAGCCATTGGAAAACACTTCAAATGGCAGCTGTTTTTAAAAGTTATTTTACAGCAAATGTTTTTGTTCTTGCAGCTGCCAGAGAGACAAATGTCGGCCTTTAAACGGATGCATGGGTTCCCTCTGTGTTCTCACCCACAGTTCAAAAATATGCCCCTTATGTTAATAGGTCTCTCTAAACTCACCCTTAGGTGTGAGTGTGAGTTTGCATAGCCATCTGTCCTCTGTCCAAGGAGTGCCCCCACCTCTTATCCAATAATTGTTGAGGGAAAGACCAACCCTAAATGGCAAAAAGAGCTTAAACGACCAATGAATGGACAATGTTTGTGTACAAGCTCTTTCTAACAGACATTGAGACGCCTGCTAATACATTACAGCTTTGCTATAAAGATACAAAACCAAACCCTCATTACACACCAGTTTCTGACCATACAAGCTGATCTGTTGAGCTTGTGAGCCCTATGTGCTTTCCTCCTGCAGCAGAGATTATGGAACCAAATGGGTGTGGCTTACAACTTGAAGAATTTAATACGTAAGGGATGTGGCTCTTAGACATACGAACTGGTTTCACTTTTCAGTTTGTCAGGAGTCAATCATCTAGGTGACGCTTCACCTATTCTGGAGTCGCAAAACAAGTCAGGCTGAATTCTGCCGAATCAAAGAACATTATCATCCCAGCGACGTGTGCATTGTCCTTATCATAGAAGGTTTGCTGTGGTTTATGTATGGTGACACCTCAAGTATAACTCAGTGGCAAATACAAAAAAAAAAAAATACATAATACAAGGGATCCTTATCTATACTTGTTTGCCAGTGGGTTATTCTTGGCCTCTAGCGCCTTGATGATGTGGGTCAGAAGTCATACAGATGTATAAGCTTTCTTTGACATCTCAACAAGGAGGGTGTCTTCCACACCACAACATAACACAGCTATAAAGAAATATATTTAAACCTCTGATGTATTTTGGTTTCTGTTTCAAAGGAAAGGTAGCCCCAAAAAATGAGAAAGATATCCAGAAAGGTAATGAAAAAAATTTTTCCAAAAGGATTTAATTAAAAATCTGACTCCTGACTTAATCCTGTCATTTTGTATCAGAAAATCAGCCATAGTTTCAAAGTAACCTTACCAGCATACCTGCCCCTCTTTACTTTTCATCTGATCATAAGTTATAACCGATCGTGATGTACTGATACAACCTTTTTTCATTCCCGATACAATACAGATTGCAGCTCTGAGTTTGGACTGATACAGATATTGACCCGATATGATTGACATGAATCATGCATATTTTTACTACTTTTATTTTAGTGTAAAATTATTTTAAAAAAGGCTTGATCAAGTGATACTCCTCAAACAGAGAGCAACCCTTCAGGTAAAATTAATCAGTTATGAGAATTAACCCATTTCTTATTCACCAAAGAGTTTCACAAACTTTAAATGAAGGCAGATTGAAGCGAAGTGTTTCTATAAACCGTCTAAAATATTGGATCGGGACATCCCTAATAAGGAACAAGGGCAGATCACAAAGCAAAGAATGATCTGAAAAATAGCATTTATCTCTGGTGAAAAAAAAAAAGGTTAATAAAATTTGAGTTCTAAATATAAAACCATCTTAAACTGTTGACAGGTCCAAACCAGCACACTTTACAATTAAAATATACATGACTGACAGAAAAACAACTTTTCAATAGCGATGTCTTGATCTGATATTATATGGGATATATTAGCCAAAAACTATCGTTTATAGTATTTTATTGGCCAGAATCTAAAATTTCCAATATTTTCATACTGATGCTCTGCTTCTGTTAAAGGATTCTGGAACTACCGGTAATTGGTTATTTCTACATGGGTCAGTTGTTTTCATACCTTTTTTGTTGTTCCCTCTTTTAGTAATATTATTCGAGGCTTTCAAACATTCCACAGCATAAAATAAGTAATAAAGGCTGGATTTATTTGTGCTGATATTATATCAGGTCAATATCAGTATCGGCCAATTCTCAAAGCTCCAATAACAGTATTGAATCTGAAATGATAAAGTTGTATCGGGACACATCTACTTTTCAATATGTTCAAAATAAGAAACAAACAAAACATTTTAATTTACACCAAGACAGGACAAAGTTTACATTGTTAATGTATTTCCAAAGCCAGAGTAAACCCAGCAGGCAGAAACATCTGTCTCTATAACATCCTTCTGAATCCCAGGAATCTCATGCATCTTGGATAATTTAGTCCAAATATGACTCA